TCCATTTTCAAGGCTGGGGATTTACATTTGTTTTCATGGAAGCCAAGAGTTTCTTTTGTATCTTTAATTCCTCTCATGTAGGTGGGACCTGTAGCTATCAATTTTGTGGCCGTCCATGAACCTGCTCAGGTAGCAATAATATAATTAAAGTCATAAATCAGTGTTAGGGCTAATCCCTTAAGCCCATGCACATTTACCTTGGGGGTTAGGGACACACCCAGGGGCTAGCTAGTTTTTTTCTCCCTCAACCTCAGCTTTGCTCTTTAGCCATAGGTGAAATTTTCTGAAAAGTCTGAACAAAATCTCTTTATCCACTTGAACATACTTTTCCCTTGTCAGAGATGATAGCAACATCTTTTTCCCCCACGCAGCACAAAAATCTGCTGAACTTTGGAACGCAGGGCCAACTCCTCAGCTCGTGCAAATTGGCCATCAGACATCAGTGGCATTACATGGATTTCACCAACTGAAAAATTGGACAAAAGGTCTAATGAATTCTCCACATTCAAGGGTGTAGCCCTGGCCAACTGTGAAACAAACTGACCACATTGTAATCAACCATTACAAGACTGAAAATTAGCTATTTCATTTGTGCAGTAGAAAATTCCTTTACGACCAAATGCCCATACTTACAAAGACATGTTATCCCACAATTGTGATGTACTTCTTAATACTGTTGATTGTTTAAACATGTGTGGCAGATCTCAGCTGTGAAGAGCAATTTGCTCTGGGTCCACTCCTTAATCCTATGCATGACTTGAGGCCTGAGGTGACTGATTTTCAGAATCAAAACCTTTCACAATGTCATTCTTTAATGGGTGGCAAATAATCATACAAAGAAAACTTTTTTTTGTAATAAAAACATGTCTGGTGTCATTACTGACCACAACTGATTTACCAATAGCACTCACATGTTTATTTGAATGGAGAATAGTTTCCTATAATTGGATGAGCATCATGAAACTGTGATCAAATTTCACAAATATTTACTTTGGGCAAGAAAACATTTTTGATAGTGCCTACACTTCTTTGGCTTTTCTTTTCAGTTCAAATACTGTTAATTGCCCTGAAGGTGCAGACAGAAGATATTCTGTTAGGAGTAGCAATGAGTCCTGAGCGAACATTTTAAGTGGTACATACGGATCACTTCATGAGAACTCTTCTGTCATACCTATCAGGTAGAAAGGTCTTTTCTCTCATCCAAGTGAGATTTGGGTATAGGCCATCGGTTCTTATGAAGCATAGATTGGTAATGAGTGAGAGGACCATGCCTGTACACGGGGTAGTGAGAGTTATGTTTCTCAAGTCAGACCGTTCCATGGCTGTTTGCTAGGCTCCATGAAGCGAGTTGGTGGGTCTGGTTTTGGTTCCTAAAAGGCAGTTGTCCATGTCACACAAGCTACCATCACAATTGCCACTCATTTTCAGCCTTGTGCACAGTGAAGACAGGCAGAGCAAAGCCACACGCCCATCTTTAACTGCTAGACTCTATACACCTTTGGCTCTTATTGACTACACTGAAGAACGAAGGCATTTCATTTATCCACAGGTTCAGTCCCCAAATAGCAATGGAAAATGGCCTGTTACCCTCTCTCTCTCTCTCTGTTTCTGTCTTGTACCCTGCAATTTGGAGGTGTAATTGCAGCACATAAAGCATATCCAAGCAAACTGCAACCTGGCCACCGCATGTAACAATTCATGGATGATACAGTACCAGACTTCAACACAAGCTAGCTGCTGGAGTAAGTACCACTGTGCAGTTTCACGCTGAAGCCTGTGGTGCAGTGTCTTCAATGTATTATTCCCTGAACTGGCTAGAGCAGAGCTAGTTTGGGTATGCCTATATGAGCTGCAATCACACCTCTTGACTGCAGTATCGAAATGTCCTTGTCCTCACGCACACATGTGCAGGACAGGATTTTGTGCTTCAGTCTGGGGCTGTTAATCCTGGTTTTTTCCCTTAGTGTTAGGAAATAGCACTGAGAGATGCTGGTGCTGATTGGCAGTGTCTGATTTGTCTCTGAAACCTTCCTTGAGCTTTTGTAATCTGAAAAAGTTAGAAAGCAAACCTGCTGTTTCTTCATTTGCCTCCAGCAGGGGGAGATGGATCCAGAGAGCATTTCTTCTGGGAAAACAAAAGAACCGTGATATATTTTACTCAGGAGGCTCTTCTCCAAGCATTTCTGTGCAGTTCCACATTGTTTGGTCTTTACCTGTACAAGTAAATAAAACCAACCAGCCTTGTGGCATTACATTTTTCAGACTATGAGACTCTGGAGGGAATTCTTTCCTCATGCCTCATTTTATTAGGAGCATTGCCCACAGGCCCAGCCACAGCTGGGGCTTTGTTGAGCTGGCCACTGAATAGATGTATAGGGAGGCAAGGGCTCCCAAGCACCATCCTCTTGGCTACTCTGTCTCAAGGGAATTGAATTCCACTCTCAGGGTCCCTAGTGTGTCATGGATAGTCTTTCCCCAACAGTTTGTAATTCAGTCTGGATTTGGGGGTTTCACCCAGGGCCTGGGACAGATTTGCTCCCTCCCTTCTTTGTGAAGCCCTCTCCATAGTCCTCCCTGTACAACATATTGCTACCACTTTCCATGAAGTGCACCCTAAACATATTTAACTAAGCATTAAATTTAGATTTAACTGGATAGTTATTGCCTCTTAAGTAAACACTCTGAGATAAGGAAATATTTAGTGAGCTTTGGCAGTTGTGTGGCAGATGCTTCTCGTGTTACATAATAGTTAATCTTTGACAAATATGTTTTCCTTACTTCACTGGCATTTCATTAACATACAATAGCTTTTATTAAATGTAAATGAAATGCATATGGGAACCCATGTAACGATGACAGTGTGTACCGCATTACTGGCTGCTTAATACAGAGGGAAGGGTTCCACTATAGTCAGCTTCCTTCCTGTGCCAGGTCTCACTGCAGCACTGAGATTTCTCACATCAGTGCCCATCTCAGCACCAGCTGGAGCACCAGCAGCATGAGATTCCTTTCGGCAGCACCCTTTCCACTGTCATCTGGGATGCCAGCAATATGAGCCTCTTCCCAGCTGAGCTTGTTCCACTGCCTCCAGCCCTGCCAGTTTTATTGAAGCAATGCCCATCTCCTTGCCAGCTGGGATGTGAGCACTGTAAGCTTCCTTACAAGGATGCCCTGGGAATGCCAGCCCCCAGGCACAGCAGTTTGCAAATATGGGGAGAGGACCATGTCTGTATGCAGGATAACTTCCCAGTTTCCTTTCGCTTTTTGGCTCCATCTGGTTTAAATCTTCCCCAGAGGAAAATTAAGAAACACAGCTTCTTTACTCATTGCTTGTACTCCCGGGGTTAGTCTCTTCGGCCCCTACCTCTGCACACTTTGAAGGGCTCAGACCTTTAACCCTACTCCCAGGAAGTCTAGACCTGATCATCAACATAAGTGGGGTTGTTAAATGCTCATAGGCAGTGCTCACTTTCAGCACAGAGGAGCTATGGCCTGCCCCCTTCTTGTTCCTTGGGATCTCCTGCACATCTGCACCAAATCTGGTGTGGAAAACGTACAGTTTCTGCCCTCCCTCTCAGCAGCCTAACTGGAGCCCTCTTCACATCAGCTCTTCCCTCTCCAGCTCTTCAAGGCCAATGCTTCCAGCCCCAGAGCTATGGCCGTAGAAGGAATATATGTGCAAAGTACTATGCGGGCCAAGCATCCCCTAGGAACACCTCTTCATCCCTCCTGGGCACAGGGGAGGGAGGCGGGCATCCGCTATAAAACATATGGCTCTTCCTGTCCATTAATTTAATCTCCTTTCCCTTGTGCTGATGCTGATGGCATGTGAGCTAAGCAGCCGTTCCCTGGGTCGGCTCAGCTGCTGCAGGGCTCAGGGCTCAGCTGCAGGCACTGGCTTTGGGGGAGGACAGACACAGCATTCAAACTGCTGGCCCTTCAATACAAGCATTGTCTCCCGGCCATCCCTCAAAGGCCTGGGGAAGGGGCGGGGGAGAGAGAGGCAGGCCAGGGGAAGTGGGACTGTTTATCTGGTGAGGGAAAGTGCAAGAGGGGAGAAGGGAGAGTTGAGCCTGGACAGCCTGCTGCCAGGAACCTTCCTCTGTTTCAGTCAACTGCCTTCTGCTTTCAAGCTATGCTGCCAAGGTTTCCCTGCCCCTGAGCCTCAGCGCCTCCCCACAAACCAGCATCCTCCCTTTCCCTAGATCTTTCCTCCTTCCTTCCCTCTCTACCCCACTGCTCTGGCTTCCCCTGCCCTCTCTCAACCTCTTTCTTCCTCCTTCCCTTTTTCCTGATACCATGCACCCTCTCTCACCCCGCACCCTTATGCCCCTCCTTCTCCAGCTCCCTTTGCCCCTTTTATCCTCCCTTGTAAACTTTCCCTTTCTCTCTCATTGCTCCCACCCAAGCCCCTTCTGTCTATCCAGCAATGTCTCTTTTGCATTCCCCCCTTTCCAACCCTCCCCGCCACCTTTTTCTCTCTCTCCAGCATTGTTTCTTTCGTGCATCTGCCCTTCCTCAGTGCTCTCAGTCCCAACTTCCAATTCCCCCTTCTAACTTCTTCTTTCCCTCTCTCTCATCCCTCTGTCTCCAGACCATCCCCACTGTGTACCACCCCCCTCCACACACCTCCCTAACTGTGGTCTCTCTTTTCTAAGCTCCAGCCCCTCTACTTAAGGAATGGGCCAGGCCTCAGATGGAGCTGTTGTCGTGACAACCTAAAGGAGCATCGGCCTTTGATGTGGGCTGGCTGCTGCTGAAGGGGGCAGTTGTGTGAAGCGAGAGGGGATGGGGGGGTGTTGGGGTGGAGGGTGCAGCAGCGGGTGGGTCACCCCCAGAGAGGGAGAGTGGAGAAGCCGCTGCTCTTGGCTTTCTTCCCTGTGCTCCTGGTGTAGCGCTGAGTTTTTCTTTCACTAGTGAGGCTCCCTCCCTCCCCTCCTCGCCTCGCTCCGCCTGGGAAAGTGGGTTAGGAAGGGAGCTGAGTGCTCAGAGACTGCACAGCCACTCACTGGAGCAGGAGCATCCACACGCGCAGGGGAAGAACACAGGCCTCTTGTTTCTCTCTTTTTTTAACCTCCCCTCCGTCTCTCCAGACGGGTTTGATTCTTTTGCAAGCTGGTTTTTCTCTTGCTTGGTTACCACCCACCTCTCCCTGCACGCACATTCACACACACACACATTCATTTCCCCTTTTTGGAGGGTTTTTCATTAAGACTTTTTTTTTAAGAGGTTTTTCTGTTTTTTTTAAAGCCAGCAAGAGACTGAGCAGAACAAGAGAAAGTGACAGCTCAGAGGGACCGTGAGCTCTCCTCTTCCTTGGGCTTTCAATCAGAGACAGAGTTGCACGTTATTATTATTGTTGTTGTGCCTTTTCTTTTTTTTTAATTTACGTCCATCTGTCTATCCACATCCACACTCTCACACACACTCACACACAGAGAAGAAGTCCATACGTTGAAACTCAACGAGAACAGCCATGGTAGGAAGGGCACAGCCTGATCGGAAACAATTACCGCTGGTCCTACTGAGATTGCTTTGCCTTCTCCCTACAGGGCTGCCAGTCCGCAGCGTGGATTATACCCGAGGCACTGATAACATCACCGTGAGGCAGGGGGATACAGCCATCCTCAGGTAGGGCACATTGCCAACTTTTCCTTATATATATATATATATGTGTGTGTGTGTGTGTGTGTGTGCGTGTGTGTGCGCGCGCGTGTGTGTGCGTGTGTGCCTGCATGCTTCTGTGTAATTTTACCTCCTGAACTGCAGCAGCTGCTGCTGCTAGTGTCAAGCTGTATGCATATGTGTGTCTCAGCCAGAGTATCACCAAGAAAAAGAGCTTCTGACATTCCTCCCCTCACCACCTCTACCCCCTTCTTCCTCCATAGTATTCTGAAGAGGAAGAATTTTATTGGCAAAAGAAAGATTTACTCCTGCTAGCCCTCCCTCGTTGCACGGTTATGTTTCAGCAGTATCCGTGGACAAATCGCAAGGGGTCCAGCTGTGCTTGCCAGATGTTCTATCGATTTCTCTTAGTACTTCATTGTGATCCTATGCAAAAACTTTATCCTTTGTCTTCCCCAAACTCTGACACAGTGTCCTTTTGGAAGCCCTGACTTGGATTTTTAGGTTTGGTGCATGGGGTTGTTTAGTTGGTGGGCTAGGGAAGGAAAAAAGGTAACAGCTCTGATGGGTGATGTCTATGTTGGCTGTCTTGGTTTCCTTGCAGTCACCAAGGAAATGGGTGTATACTCTGCCTGAATGAATTGCTCTCAGGAGGATGACTTTCCACGTGAAGGATTGTTTGCTGATGTGGTGCAGAGTAGAGATTCTCTTATCATGATACTAGGGTTGCGAGAGTCTGTCCTAGCCTGTTCTAGGTTTTATTTAACCCAATGTCCGAAGTAGCTGAAAAAAACTGAAACAAACTGTATCCCATGGCTCCTTGTCAAAGTCTACGTTACCCATCTTACATAGAATAACTTCCCTCTTTGAAAGAAAATATTGTGTGTGTGTGTGTGTGTGTTTGTGTGTGTGAAAGAGAGAGAGAGAACGTGTGCATCACAGGCACTCTATATTATGGCAATAAAACTACTGGACACGATTTAAAATAAGCCTGTAATCTGTATGAGAAGCTGATAGTGCACAAACCCCGGAGCATCTAGGGAGTAATTCCTTTGCAAAGCTAACAACACCAGCAAAGTTTTCTTTCTCTTCTTTGGAAATAAATCCTGCTAAATGTCACTGAACGGCCTGCTACATGATCCCCCATGCTCTTCCTATCTCCATGTAGAAATGCTGGGGTCTGTACATCTGGGAGAGGGGAGAAGAATGTGGGGGAAGAGAGGAGGGGTGTGTGTGCGTGCGTGTGTGTGCGTGTGTGACAGAGAGAGAGAGGGAGTGCGCGTACCTTCCTTTTCTCCTTTCCTATATGCTGGGTTGTTCTGATCCTGGAACATCCTTTTCAGCAGCTTCCATTCCCCAGCTCTCCAGACTTGTTAACTTGCATGTAAGATTTATCCACATGGAGTAATAGGATTTACAGAGTAATTCATCTGCCTCGCGTCGGTGATGGAAGGGTTTAGATGCGACATGGAAAACACCTAACAACAAGTGCTGCCTCTGACTTCAGGCTCCTTGGACTCTGTGGGGATTCAGATATTACATTAACCCTTTCCTGCAGAGCTCCCAGCCAGTTTCTCTGCTCCCGATTTCTAAAGGCAGGTTAATTCCATCGGTCTCCTATTTTGAGGGGCAGTCTAGGAAGGGCATGTGCTTGGATGTGCTCCCTATAAATGGCAGCATTTGAGTCGTTCAGCTCACTTGCCCAGAGGTCACTGGAACTTGATTTCCCACTTAACCTTGCAGCCCCGGAGTTTATCTAGCTGCCTTGTGTTAAAACAGCTTTGGCAGTGGAGGAGGCTGCAGGCACGCCAGAGGGGGTGTTGCTCCATGCCGTGTGTGAGGGTTTGTTAGGGATGTGAAGGAGGCTGCCTGCAAGAATGTTTTTTATGTGCATGAGGGACTGCGTAGCTGCACGTGTGATGTGAAGCACTGAAATAAAATATCTGAATGAGGTGATCCAGCTGCGTGAGCCAGATGTTCACTCAATTACCTGCTCACAAAGAGCCCCACACCTCCAAACATCATGCCTGTGCCCCAAGCAATACTTTGTTCCCACCTAGATGAATTTCTGTCAGAAGTGATTGCCGGCTGAGCACATGCGTTCATTTCCTCAGCTGACCTTCTAAGGCTCTTGAAAGGGATCTGACAGTGTGGTTTTGTTTCCTCATGGAGAACTCTCTTTTTCCTCTTTCTCTCTTTTTCCTGGGACCAGTCTTTGGAAGCCTCACTGTCATTTCAGCTGTGGCATTTCACTCCCTGCTTCTGAAGGCAGGCCACATCCTTGGTTTGGAGGAGGTGGGGTTACCATTTGGGGCTGAGATAGGGAAAATCACTTTTATCCATTGACCACTAGTCTTTGCAATCCAGGATGACTTTTCATTCTCATGGCATTAACACAAGGGTGTTTGTGACTGTTTGCCTCCCCCCTTACCCCTCTATGGAATGCTTTGTTTCGAGAGATCTTCATGCTGGTGGCGGTGTCTCCTGTGTCATTAACTTAAACATCTCCCACTATTATACTCTCACTGGTGGAGCTTTATCAATGGTGACACAAACCATCCACCAGCCTTTATACCATCTAACCCTGCTCAGCACAGATGTATAACTGCACAGTGCGGCAAATAAGAAACTTTCATGTAGAAGCCATTTCACCCTTCAGTCATGTGTGTCCACGTTTGGGGTGGAACATGGTGGCTATTTATCAACATGCAACAACTTCACCCAACTCAACTGAAAGGCAGTGATTAATAATAAAAAAGCGCATTGACGTTGCAGAGGGAATACGAGTGGAAAAATCTGCATAAAGTTCAGATGAGTTAGTGTTTGTACCTAATGCATATAATGTTATGTAACATAACTCCAAATATTGCATTCACGTAAAGTTGTGATTATAAATTATTCTGCACTCCACAAATGTCAGACACTTTGGAGAGCTTTTTCTCACATGGGCATTTTTTGCATATGTAGTATTTTAAATGTGGCAAAAGAGTTTTAGGCAGGTAGACACAGAGAGAGAGCTAGCCACTTTCCATTTATAAGCCCAGTTTCCAACTCAGATTACCTTCTCCAGAAAGAAGCCTTTCTTTTGAAGTTTCATGTACTTCACGTCCTCTCAAGGTAGAATTGTTCTGCAAAGTTTGGAAAATCTCATAAAAAGGAACTTTAAAGCTCTGGCATTTAAAATATTCCCCTGCTGTTGACTTTTTAGAAATGTTCTTAACATTTTTGGCTCATCTCCTAAATGACCCAGCTTCAAATTTGATTCATTTGTTGGCCTTGCTGAAGGTCACTGCCTTTTAGTGTTTGACATAAGGAAGTTAGCCAGAGAATTACAAAGATATATAATAATGAGAAAAGCTTGTGATAGAATGCACAGACAGTGCATAACCGTTGAGAGAAGGAGACAGAATAGTGCCAGGTAAGGCTATGGCAGGGGCCCCGGGAGCAGTGCAAAGTACTAGTGAAAGTCTATTGGTATGAAAACAGTCCAATTCTGCTCCCAAGGGAGACCATGGACCTAAATGACTATACTGTTTATCTGAGATTTTGTCAGTTCACAACAATTTGGGTTTTTTTTAACCTAGCTTCAGGAAGTGAAGTGTTCTCCATCTGTCTGTTTGTGCAGATGCCCGCGCGCTATGCTTGAGTTTTGTTTGTTCCGTGAATGACATGATAGAATATGCCTGAATCTTGCCTATAATATCCCATCAAAACTACCTTATTATAGGTTTTTGACATGTCATTTCCGTTGACTCTTTTTAAAAAGGAAGGGACAGCGAACTAGCAAGGCTTTTTCATATTTCTTGGAACGTGCTGTCTCGTTATGTGCTTCATTTCTCAGTACAGACCTGGGGGCCCAGAAGTCCAGAGTCTTTAAACTGGGTTTGATATGCTCGTTCTTTGTGGACCTGTTATTTCACATTTTTGTGCCATAGCTTTGTCAGAACTCATCTGGTGGCTTTATCTGTGTATCTGTACAGGGGCTACTGCAATGGGCAGAGGTTTAGCAAGGCAGCTCTAAGCCCAGGGCAGCTAGAAATGCCTGGGGGAATGTGGAGTACCGCCGTGCTGATTGTGGCGGTGTGATCAGTCATTGCTGTAGTGGTGAGATTTTTGTGCCCTCTCAACAAGGTAGCACTTTGGGCTACTGCCCTGGTCACCCTTCCACCTAGTTACACTACTGACAATAGGATCCCTGATCCATGAGCAGAGCCCATAGATGATGCTATAACACAAATGTATCGTCATCACCATTATCCTTATTAATATTACTATTATTACTGACAAAGGGCCCATTTTCGCTCTCACTGACATCTGTCACAGATATTACTGGGATTGCATGGATCTACTATAATTGAGGGCAGAATTCAGCCTCCATATGTTTCCCCAAAAGTACTAAATATCAGAGTCCGCAATAACAGGGTTCCCACTTTTTCAAACTGCCATGCTCCTCTAGCTGTGCCTCATGGGCATCTCATTTAGAGACCGAATCAGGCCCAACCTCTGCTGCTAGGCTGGACCGCGCAGAGAGCTCAGGTATTACACCCACATCTTTGCATGGACTCCCACTACTGTCTCTGCAGGCAAAGGTAGCAGGGAGTGTGCACTTGGTTCTTCCATTTCAGCCTATGGACATGGGAGGAAAGGGGCAGGGAATGAGGGATCACTTTGGCTTTGCTCACCCCAGTGTGCCAGTCAGTGCAGCTGAACCAGGGAATAGGGATACCATCATCTGCTGCTGGTCAGGGCCATGACTAACCCCTACCTGGAAGCAATATGGAAGGTAGAACAGGTGCTTTGCCTCACAGATACATGCTGGCCCTTCATCTAAGTTAGAAGGAAAAGGGCAACCTTGTCCATACTGCAGGATGGGACAAATGATGTGTGCACCGGGGATGAAATTCACCACTGCAAAGGTGAACCCCAAGGCTGAATAGTGCTTAAGCTCCCCTTGTGCACTATTTGGATAGCTTAGGTAGGACTTAAGGGTGACCCAGGTCCCACAC